TCTCTCTCTCTCTCTCTCTCTCTCTCTCTCTCTCTCTCTCTCTCTCTCTCTCTCTCTCACACACACACACACACACACACACACACAAATAAATAAATGTAAGAAAATTAAAACATTTCCAATGCAAAACAATTTCATTGGACAGCAAAACATGGACTCCCACTTTTAAAGTCAGATCCCTTTAAAAGTAGACTAATGAAGGATGGTTAGAATCCAGGTCTAGGTGCCACGTCCACAGCAGTGACTGCCGTGTAGTGACAAAATGCCTCTGCGCTGGCTTTTGCCTGCTGAAGGATTGGGGTTAGAGCTTCCTGGAGCAAAGCCCCAGGTGGTCCCCTGGCAATCAGTGGTCAAGATAGGACCTGATGCCGTAGGCAGATCTCGTATCTGGAGATGGCCTTGAGAGCGAGCCCTCCTGGCACCCTGCATGATCTTTCTCTGTATTTCTTATCTTTCCTGTTTTCAGCTGACCGCTTACCAATAGGCCTGCAACACACTTTTAAGGATAATGTGTGTGTTGGTAACGTCATGCACAAGGAAATTTGGTTTGTTATTTGTCGTGCTAAGGATTGAGCAGATAGCACTTCACAAGCTGAACAAAACACTGAGATGTATCCTTGTCCCAGACGTACATTTTATTCCCCCCACATTTTATGCCTAAAACTGCTGTAACCTCATGGTATGCTCTGCTTTAAGGAATACATTGTGTTTAGTTATTTAAAACTTATAGGCTAATGTTTGATGCTGTTGTTACTGTGTGTGTGTGTGTGTGTGTGTGTGTGATGGATAGCCTTGAAATAATGCAGACTTGAACTTGTTTTTTATTGCCTTCTAAAAACATTATTCTAGGACCAGTGGCCATTTATCCAGAACTAGACAACTTGGGAAATGTTCACGTTCTGAAATGATGAAAGATCCGAGACCCCTTAATGATAAAGCGTTCATTCACGAATGTATTAAACAGCTCTATAAGGTATTAAATTGTCTGATTTGTGTTTTTGCTCCCAACATTTTTTCTAATCCAAAACTTTCAATGCCTCATAAAAATGATTGTAGTTTCTTACAGAACATGGTTATGTATATAGTGTGTCCATGAAGTCTCTCCAAGCCCCATCAACCAAAGATTTCCTAAAGATTTTTGCCTTTCTGTATGGCTTCCTATGCCCGTCATATGAAATTCCTGACACAAAATTTGAAGAAGAGGTTCCAAGAATTTTTAAAGACCTTGGGTATGTAATATTTTTATTAGTCTAAGATCTTATCAGAACACAGAAGAAACACACATTATAAGATTGTGAATACTTTGAATTAGTAGGTTCAGTTTTAGGATGAGCACTGTCAACAGTATGTGTAGAATGAACTGAAGAGAGAGGAGAATTGATAGATTGTAGCATAGTCAACTTTTTTTTCCTTTAACAAAACACCAATGCTTGGTAATTGGTAAATATAGGAGTTATTGAGCTAAAGGAATGGCTCAGTGGTTAAGAGAACTGGCTGCTTTTCCAGAGGACTCAGGTTAGGTTCTCAGCACCCACATGGTGCCTCACAGTCATAAACAGTGATTCCTCTTTTGACCTCCACAGCCACGAGGCACACACATGTTCTGCATATTTGGGGGAACTATGAAGCCAAGCTGTTTACTGACTAGTTCTCCATAGCTTGCTCAGCTTGCTTTCTCCTACAGTCGGTACTACCTACTCGGCTGGCACTGCCCACAGTGGACTAGCCCTCTCCCATCAGTCATGAGTTAAGGAAGTGCTCCATGGATATGCCCATGGGCCAGCCTATTGGAGACAGTTCCTTTATTGAGGTTCTGTCTTTCCAGATGACTCTAGTTTGTGTCTGGTTGACAGAGCTCACCAGCAGAGAGATGAAGTTTAAAGGCATTATAAATAAAGACAAGCACAGATCAGATGTGGTGCTATACACCTGTGCACCCAACACTTGGGGAAACTGAGGATGGGAAGCTGTTTGGAGACACAGGGGCGGAAGTAGATTTAGTGAGAGATAATCACTAAAGTGTAATAGAAGTACACTGAATGTAGGAAAATGAAAAGGTTTTTAGGAGAATCCTTCTATACTCAGCTGTTAAACACTGTGCAAAGTAATCTGTGGACTGTGAATAAATACACAAAAGTCATTGATGAATAAGATCTTCAGAGTATGGGCTGGAGAGATGGCTCAGTGGTTAAGAGCATTGCCTGCTCTTCCAAAGGTCCTGAGTTCAATTCCCAGCAACCACATGGTGGCTCACAACCATCTGTAATGGGGTCTGGTGCCCTCTTCTGGCCTGCAGGTATACACACAGATACATAATAAATAAATAAAATATTTAAAAAAAAGATCTTCAGAGTAGACTCAAATATCTTCACAGCAGGTGTATGTGCAGCTTTAAAATACACCTTTACTGTAGCCTTTATGCTTGCTAACACGGTTGCTCCTTATCCTCCTGTTTCTCATAGGTATCCCTTTGCACTGTCCAAGAGCTCCCTGTATGCAGTGGGAGCCCCTCATACCTGGCCTCACATCGTGGCAGCCTTGGTATGGCTGATAGACTGCATCAAGGTATTTGATTGATAGTTTAAATCTTACCTTTAAACGTTTACTTTTTGTTTTGTTTTGTTTTGTTTTTCTCACAGCCATTTTCTATTCTCTCCCAGTCTGACTTTTGCAACTTGTCTCAAACCCTGCTTCTGCTTTCAAAGCACGTTTCATTTGAAGTTCTTCAAACTGTTAGGGTAAGAACGGTGAGCAGGGAGAAGTTCTGCTTGCCAGATTGTTTTCCTGGGGTGTTACTGTTTAGAAAAAAATGAACCCATCATTTTTCTTTGCGAAATTCATTTTCTCCTTTTTAAAAAAATGAAATCAGTATTAATCACAAAAATAGGGAAATATAGAATGAATATTCACCCAACTTACAGATGACTTTTAAGTAATTTTCTTTGGATCTAGTTTTATTTGGTTTTGTGGTATTGGGAGTTGAACCGTGGATGGCTCTACCATTGAGGTGCACTTCAGCCCTGGATATAGGTTTCAAAGTTCTGTTTACTCTAAAAATGTGTACAGTCATGTTTCACATGCTGATGTCAATGATGGATGGCATGGTGGTCCCATAAGATTATCACAGATATGAACTAATTTCTGTCACGTAGTGATGGATCCATTGCAAAACTGCTCATCTCTGGTGATGCTGATATAAACCTGTGCTGCAGCCATATAAAAGTATAGCACATGAGTTAATGTTGCCTAACATGTTTACCCTACTTATTTTAGAGTCACTAAATTTTTTTAAACAAATAATTTTTACTGTAAAACAGAGCCATGTTAATCTGTAGCAGCCTCTTTTTTTCAACATATTAACAAGTTTTCCTCCAAGGAAGCTTATAGCAATTAAAAATACTCAGCCTCCAGATGTGATAGCACACCCCTTAAGTCCTAGCACTTGGGACAGAGGCAGGCAGATCTCTTCATTCAGGGACAGCCTGGTCTACGCAGAGAAAGCCTGTCTCTACACCGCCATGTGTGAGCATTGCGTGCCTATGGAGAGGCATTACTGTTTCAAACTCTACCTATGTGGAAACTTTAAAGCTGTTTGTTTTCTCAGTTTTCTCTCTCGCTTTGTGCTTTTGCTATTAATTTGAAACTTTCTTTCTTTGGTTGGTTTGTTGGTTTTTCTGAGAGTGAATCTCACCATGTTGCCTAGTCTGTACTCTGGGGTCAAATAATCTTCCCACTGCAGTCTGGTAAAGAGCTGGAACTACAGGTATGTGCCACTGCATCCAGCTTTAGTCCAGCATTTAATTTGAACCTTTTTGTATGAAATCCCTTCTGTCTCAAACTGAGCCAATGATTTGGGAAGGGGTATTGTTGGGTTGGGTTTTGTTGTCAGGTTGTGCCGCGAACTCCCTGACCAGCAGGAAAGAACAGCCACCAGAGAGGATTCTTCTCAAATCACGCTTTATTGGAGCCTCTTGGTTGAAGGGAGAGCAGAAAGCAAGGGGCCCCGAGCTCTGATTTGCAGCTGCTTATATAGGGAGTCTGCCTAGCAACCTTTTCTACTTTGATACTTTAACTGCTTTTCTGGAGACCCACCGGCAGGAAAGAAAGCAGGGGAACATCCCTGTCAATTACAGACCACAAGGAAGTTCCCCTGCCGGTCAGGGGAAGTGTGGGCAGCTAGATCACAACAACTCATCCTGTTTTCTGGTGGAAGAACTGCAACCTTTATTATGGTATCAAGCGAGGCCGGGGCCAAATGCCATCTTGTAATGGCAGCCACTCAAATCGGCTCCCAGCAAGGTTGCTGTGCCTTTGAGGAAGGAATGGCTGGGATATGGTGAGTGGTTGTTTTGGTTCACCATTTGTATTTTACTGGTAGTCTTAACTGGGACCACCAGTCCTTGGCATTATATCCATATTTGTTTTTTGTTTTTTTACCTTTGGACTTGACTTCACGTTCCATAGGTTTATGTTCCCCCATGTTAGTGTTTGAGCCTCTTTTATTCTGTGTATTCTTCAGTTGAACCGCACTTCCCTGTCCTCACGATGCCTTTGAAGGCTTTAACTTGTTATTTCTGTATGGGTGAGCTTATGCTGTGGCACACAATATGAAAGACATAGCATAATTTTTTGGAGTTTGTTACTGAGCCAGGTCTGCTGTTCATGGTTTTAATAACTGACAACATGACAAAAAGCATATTGCTAATTTTTTATATTTTTATTTTGGTTTTTAAAGTTGAACCTAAAATTTCACACAAGAGTAATTGCCTGGGCTGGAGGGATGGCTCAGAGGTTAAGAGCACTGACTGCTTTTTCAGAGGTCCTGAGTTCAATTCCCAGGAACCACGTGGTTGCTCACAACCATCTGTAATGAGATCTGATGCCCTCTTCTGACATGCAGACAGAACACTGTATACATAGCAAATAAATCTTTATTTTAAAAAAAGAGTAATTGCCTATCATTTCCTTTTCTTCCTTTTGCAATGATGCAAAAAATATTACTGTGTATTATTGTGTGCACATGCACATGTATGCATGCTACAACATATATGTGGAATCAAGCCCAGGTTGCCAAAACTGTATACCATGCTTTTACCTCCTTCTCTCTAGCCCTTTTTTCCTTTTTTTTTCTTATCCATTTACAAAAACTTGTCTCTACTTCCTAGCACTGGAACTGCAAATGCTCATCTCTACATTCAGCTTTTCCATGGTTACCTTAGCAGGAATTCTAATAAAAACCTGGAGTCAGCTATTAGGGTAAGCTGAGCAATCCAGGAAGCAGAGTGCCCAGGCACTATAGAGACCTTTAACCTCTACCTATGCTTAGACCAAAGGGGCAGTCCTCTCCTCAGAACGAAGGGACAATCCTCAGAATGCACTGAGCTCTTGTCTCCTCTTCTCAAATATTCCTCTCTCCATCCAGCCCTGTCCATCCTGTCAATACCTCTCTAGCTCTAGCATTGAAAATGTGGGATCACCTTTGCGGGAGCTCTGTTTCTCTTTTAGACATTCAGTCTCGTTTAACCCAGGGTGGTCTTGAACTAACAGATCCCTCTGTGTCCTGAGTCCTGGGATTCAAGGTGTGTGCCAGGACTCCATGCCTTCTAGTGGTTGTTTACTCTGCACTCTGATCTTAGGGCAAGCTTTCTTTGTTAAAACATAAAATATCACTGCAGTTATTGGGCCTCCAAACTCCAGTCCTCATGCTTGTATAGCAAGCATTTTATCCACAGAGCATTTTCCCAGCCCATCAGTATTATTTAAAATTCTGTGTTTTGTTTACCCCTCCGCCTTTGGTTTCAAATTGCATTCATAAACATTAGGGAAAAATTCCCATTTGGACAATATTTAACATTATCATTTGGGGAAGTATTGATTTTCTTTATTCATCTGTTTCTTCAGTAAGATATAGCTTTCTTAATATCAAGTACCATATTTTTCAGTTCCATTTGTTTTGATGTTTTCTTAACTATATTTCTAAGTTATTAATGCTGACACTTGTAGTGATATTTTAAGACTTTCTTGTCTCGCTACTCTTAATAAACTATCTTATGCCATTTTAAATCATTTTCTATTACTACCACTGTTTACAAAGAAAGGGTTTTTTGTTATTTAGTCATGATATATTCAGATAAAAAGTAGTGTTTTTCCTACAGAAGTGGATCTGCTATTATCTCAAAAATGGCTTTTGAAGCCAGGCTTAGTGATTCTGGCCTGTGATCTCATCTAATTAGGAAGCTAAGGCAGAAGAATCACAGGCATCTGTCCTTACAAGTGCTTCTACAAAGAGAGGTTTAGGCCAGCCTGCGCAACTTAGATCCTGTCTCAAGATAAAAAGGAAAAGAGAACTTGAGAATAGCTCAGTGATAGGTTGTTGGTCTAGCATACATAAGACTGTTAATTCAGCCCTTGCCTCCCCCTCCCATGAGGTTACTGCTGGCTGGTGATGGAACAGAGTGATAGGGAGCTTGTCTAAGCAAGTACAAGATCCTGACATAATGGTTGAAGGAACAATTGAAAATATCCCTTAAAATATTATTTTTACTTATCTATGTGTGTGAATCTCTGTGCGAGGCCAGAAGAGAGCATTGGGTCCACTAGAACCAATGTCGCAGGCATTTGTGAGCTATGCAACATGGGTGCTGGGAAACGAACCTGAGTCCTCAGGAAAAGCACCAAGGACTCTTAACAATTTTAGCCCTCTTTCCAATTCTGAAAATATAATTGTTTTCTTGACCTCCATATATAATATATGATTGATGGCCTCTGTCCATTATTTGTTTTTTTTTCTGATCCCAAATTGCTTCATAATATTTTATAAGTGGCTTGATACTTTCTCTCATTCTTCACTGTGCCTCTTTGCTCACTTGGCACACAGTCTGTCTGCATAGCAGCAATTAGACCATGGCCCCATGTCTTTTAGAGACTAAATAACAAGGTTGCATGAGCTCCAAAATAAATTTTGGTTAGGGCGTGGCTTGGATCTCCTGTGCCCTGAACAATGCTCAGAAATAGTATTTTGTTAGAGAATCCTACCTTCACCTGGTGGGAGCTCCATTCTATAGCTTTAGATGAAGACCCTGTCTCTACACAATGTCAGCAAAGGCCTTGAGAGATGACATGGTTAAGAGAACTTCCTACCCTTCCAGAGAACCAGAGTCCCAGCACCCACACCAGGTAGCTCTTAATTGCCTATAACTCCAGCTACAGGGAGGCCAGTGCCCTCTTCTGACCTTGCAGAACACTGTATATATAATAAACAAATCTTTAAAAAAATAATGAATTTTACAAACTATCAAACCACAAATCTAATGTGGTGTTTGTTTACTAATTAGATTTATCATGCCATGAAAGAAAGCACAGCTTGTGGAGAAGAAACAGAAGATGGGATTATACATAATAAGGTACCATATATTACTATAAACAATATATAAAGAGGATGCTTTTATATTCTTCACGAAAAGGTGTTCTTTTATAGAACTTGTCTTTTGCTTTCTAAGACATTTCTGAGGTTGATGTTTTTTTAAACCAGATTTAATTCATTGATTTTTTCTGTGTAAAATCCCCCATGTGGTAGCCACAGCTGGAGCCTACGTCCTCTGAGCAGAGACACTGTTGTGAGTTTTCACAGATGGTCAATGAATTCCCAGTAAGGAGACTTGGTGAATATAGTCTTTTTCTGGAGGTTAGGGGGTCGGGTAACTATAGGTCATGGAGATGGCCTCAAAGGTGGCCTTGGCAAGGTTGCCCAAATTCTTACTACATATTCCCGACTGTCCTAGAACTTTCTATCCAGACCAGGCTGCTCCTGACTCAAAGAGATGTCCCTGCTTGGCTTCCAAATGCTGGGACTGACAACAATGAAAGCCATTCCAAAGCAAAATGCATATAAAATAGATCAATCTAAAGGAAAATATTTTTAGTAAAATAAAATTGTTCTGGGGCTAGAGAGATGACTCAGTGGTTAAGAGCATTGACTGCTCTTCCAAAGGTCCTGAGTTCAATTCCCAGCGACTACATGGTAGCTCACAACCGTGTGTAATGAGATCTGGTGTGCTCTTGTGGTATGGAGGTGTACAGGCAGAAAGAACATTGTATTCCTAATAAGTAAATAAATCTTTTTAAAAATTGATCTTTAAAAAAATACTCAGTGTGCCTACTATTGAAATGACCTTATAACTTCCTAAAATTACTAAGCACAAAACTTAAAAATGTTAACTGAAAAATGCAAATTTAACCATGTTCACCCCTTTAATCCCAGCACTCAGGAGGCAGAAGCAGACAGACCTCTGTGAGTTCATGCCCAGCCTGGTCTCTATAGTAAATCCCAGACTAGCCAGGGCTACATAGTGAGACCTGTCTCAAAAAGAACTGAAAGGAAGAAAGAAAGATAGGAAGGAAGGAAGGAAGGAAGGAAGGAAGGAAGGAAGGAAGGAAGGAAGGAAGGAAGGAAGAAAGGTAGGTATTGGAACTAATATATGTGTTATAGAAAGGTTTCCTTTTCCTCCTGTTTCTTACTTTAATGTAATTATTTATCAATACAAAACATAACTATTTGAGGAGAGGGGTTAGGGAATTGCTGGGGCTTGAATCCAAGGCATCTTGCATGCTAAAAAGTCCTCTTAAATTATTCAGATTGTCCTTAAACTACTGTGTACTCAAGGAAAGCCTTGAACTCACAAACCTTCCGCTTTGGCTTCACAAGTAGCTGAGACTGCAGGATTGGCACATATTGACCCTTAAAATACCGCATGGAGGTTGTTCTGGTTTATTTTGTTTGGGCTGCTGTAGTTAGACATATTGTTACTTAGCTCAGTTACCACTTCCAAAATTAGTTGTGCTAAATGTAATAAACAGTTGGGTATGGTGGTATACTCCCATAACCTCAGCACACAGAAGGCTAAAAAATGGGAGGTCATAAATGCCAAAGAGAAAACTAATTATTTGTTGAAGAGATTTCTGTCTTGCCCAGTTCCTCCAAACATTAAGTCCCAACGAAATCACACAGAGGTCTACATTAGTTATAAACTGATTAGCCCATTAGCTCAGGCTTCTTATTAACTCTTATATTAGTCCATTATTATCTGTGTTAGCCACATGGCTCAGTACCTTTTTCAGCAGCATAGTCACATCTTGCTTCTGTGTCTGGACAGGAGTGCAGAGGGAGCTTCCCTCTTCCCAGAATTCTCCTGTTCTCATTGACCCGCCTCTACTTCCTGTCTGCTTGTCCCGCCTGTACTTCCTGCCTGGCTACTGGCCAATCAGTGTTATTTAAAACATAATTGACAGAATATAGACAATTGTCCCACACCAATTATTTTTTTAAAAAAATAAGTATATGGTTCCATATGCTTTATTAGAATATAAAATGCACGGCAAACTCCACTTTATTCTAAAATACAAACATTAGCTCGAGAATGAACTTGACATTATTCATACTGCCTGATGTATATTAAGGACCATAGGCATCTCAGTTTAAAAATTGCTTTGTGCACTAGTTTTAACTGTGTCTTGTTAAAGCCTGTCTCAAAAAACAAAAGTGGTAATCATTCTAGTCTTATTTTTTATCAATGCCTGAGAAATAGTTTAAAGTTACATTAACTGACTAGCGTCGCATCAATGACATGTTTTTCTCAGAGTGTATATGTGTACATTCATGTGTGTCACATGCACACGTGAGATCAGAGGACAACTTTCAGGGGTTGACTCCTTCTCCCACTATAGATCCTGAGTCTCAAACTCAAGTGGGCAGACTTGCAAAGGAAGTATTTTCACCCACCCAGCTGTCCAACCAACCCACCCCTTTGTTTTAAACAAGAATGAACCTGCCACATTAAGCAGTGATCCAAGGTGCAGAGGCTGCTGGAGAACCTTTTACCCTTTCCTCTTGAGAATCCTCAGGCTGGAGACAAGAGCTCTTTCAGAGCGCTTGCCTGAAGCATCCAGAGCCCTGGGCTCTGTCAGCCCCTCAGCAGTAACAGCAAAGCTCCTAGGGAAGAGCCCACCATGGCAGGGCATGGACAGCGGATTACACTTCTAGCACAGTTTATCCCAGGATAACTCAGCTTCTGGTCGTCAGCTTTGTGGGACTACAAACTGCTTAGGATTCAAACTTACCACGTCTAAGGAAAGAGATTACAAGAGGGCAGACTGAAATGGCATGAAGGTATAGTCATTTGCCACCAGTGGGCGCCCTTTCTGGTTACAGGAATGTTTCTGCCTATCTAGGCTTCTTCTCTTCCATATCAACAGGATAATGAGAGGGTTTGTTAGTAAGGACAGCATTGGTGGAAAGGGTACGTGTTTGTCTTGGGAAATATGTACTTTATCTAGGCTGTGGAACACTCTGCTTAGCTGTTCTCAGAGTCATGTGTTGTGAGACAAAATGATTCCAACATTCAGGGAGGTTGAGGAAGGAGAATCACCAGTCAGAGGCCACTCTGGGCTACATAGTGAGTTCCAAGGCAGGCTGAACTACACTGGTCAAAATGCTTCATGTTTGAAAACAGAACTTTCTCTTGGGTCACAGCTCTAATAGTCTCCTCTTAGGGCTCCACCTTCCATAGTATTATTCACCTGAAGTTTCTGACTTTCATAATTAGTCCCTGTCTGTCTAATTGGAATTAGACAATTATAATATATTTCAATTTTTCATAAGATGGGAACAAACCCTTCTTTTTTTTCTTCCAGTCTTATAGATGCATAGTAGTGACTCAGAGCTTTTGTTTTGGCTTGTTTGAGTCTTTGTTTACAAGACTATTATACTATTACTATACTATTTATTATATTATACTATACTATTATTTTATGTGTGTGCATGGTTTGCCTGCGTGTAAGTCTGTGTACCATATGTGTGCATTGCCCATGGAGGCCAAAAGAGAGCGTCAGATCCTCTGGACTAGAATTACAAAGAGTTGTGAGCCATGTGAGTACAGAGAACCAAAACCAGCTCCTCTACATTAGGAACAATTACTGTCAACCACTGAGCTATCTCTGTAGCCTCAGCTTCATCATCATCATCATCATCATCAACATCGTCATCATCATCAACATCGTCATCATCATTATTATTGTTATGTTTGTTGGCTTTTTTATGTTTGGACATATTTTGCCTGCATATATGTGTGAACCACATATGTGCCTATTGCCCCAGGAAGTCAGAGGGGCAACAGCTCCTCTGGGACTGGTGCTGTGAATAGTTGTGTGCCTCCGTGTTGGTGATGGGAACAAACCAGGTCCTGTACAGGAGGACCACTGAGCCTCCCCAGCCCCAGCATCCTCCTTAAAGAAGACTAAGTTTGTGCATTTTATGTCAAATTATACTTTTTAGTAAGCTTCCTGGGTTAACTTCAAAATATCTAACCAAATTGTGTATTTTCATCCCTATTCATGTTTAGAAGTAATAGATTGTGTACATCTTTATAGCACAGTTAATAGCAGATTTTCAATCTCTTATTCTAAGGGACTTATATAACTGCCTACTCCATTTTTATTCAAATTTATAAATTTCCAATTTGAAAAAACAATGAAACAAACTAAATACTGAATCATGTCTTTGTTTTTAAAATCTACTCATCACAATCAGTTGTTTCTGGACTACACCATCAAATGCTATGAGAAGTTCATGAGTGGAGCTGACACCTTTGAAGAGGAGAATGCAGAGCTGCAGTCGAAGCTGAGTGAGTGCCCTTCCTGCTGTGCTGCCCCTTAACTCAGTGCTTGCTTGTTGTGTCATGCCTGATGTTTTCATTAGCTACTTTATGAGGTGGGTACCTATGAATTGTTCTTTGATGGTTCTTTAATGGGGACAAGTATTATTTAAGCAAAAAAAAAAAAGTCAGCCCTGAGTCATACCCCTTTGTGGCTATGTGAATTCAAGACATGTCTGACCTCTTTGAAACTTAGTGAACTGGAAAGCAATGTAATGAAATACCAAATGAGCTTTTAATCCAAGCACTTGGGAGGCAGAGTTCGAGGCCAGCCTGGTCTACAAAGTAAGTTCCAGGAGAGCCAAGGCTTCACAGAGAAACCCTGTTTCAGG